TACCTCTCTTAATCGATATGTAACGAAGGAACGGGTTAAATTTGATGACATGAGTAAGGTCCAACATCTTCTCCCCTATAAAGGTTACATGACAACCTTTGATCTTAAGAGCGGTTACCATCATGTGCGAATTGCTGAACAGAGCCAGCGATATTTAGGTTTCAAGTGGAAGAACACTCTGTATAAGTTCACAGTCCTGCCATTTGGGCTTTCTTCCGCCCCGCACATATTCACCAAGATCTTGAGGCCTTTGATAAAGAAGTGGAGAGCAGAAGGGAAAGGAGTAGCTTTATATCTTGATGATGGACTCATTTGGGCTTCTTCCAGGGCCGAATGTAGTGCAGTTTCTCAAGATATCAGAAAAGACCTCAAGAAGTTCGGATGGTTCGACGCGAAAGATAAATCTCAGTGGAATCCGAGTGCGAAAANTCTTCCGCCCCGCACATATTCACCAAGATTTTGAGGCCTTTGATAAAGAAGTGGAGAGCAGAAGGGAAAGGAGTGGCTTTATATCTTGATGATGAGTTCATTTGGGCCTCTTCCAGGGCCGAATGCAGTGCAGTTTCTCAATATATCAGAAAGACACCAAGAAGTTCGGATGGTTCGGCGCGAAAGATAAATCTCAGTGGAATCCGAGTGCGAAAACTAAGTGGTTAGGTTTTGAAATAGACTTGAACAAATTTGAGATCTCGATCTCCAGAGACAGAATTGAAAGAGCTAATGCCATTCTTTGTCGTATGTTGCGCGAAAAAGCGCCATCATTGCTCTTAAGAATGAGATGGGAAGGATCCTTGGCATCCATGAGTCTTGTCATTTCAGATAAAGACAGAAGACGAACCAGAGCCATAACAACGGCAATAGCAAAAGCACAGTCTAGTGAGTTTTCTCTGAATTATAGATGGTCATTATTGGCTTTAGAGAGACGAGACTTATATTTTCGGATGGAACGACTGAAATTAGGGGTATCTACTTCATTATTTCCACCGGATAGCCCTCCTACACCGAGACATATTTTGGAGGTAGGTGCCTCGGTACACTCCGTTGGCGCGGTATTGGTAGGAGACCGAAACGTTAAAGCTCACAACGTGCTTCCGGAGTCTCTACGGACGGAGTCGAGTACTAGCAGAGAGCTGTGGGC